CCGAGGACCTATCCACGTCATCATTTACCCAGAATGCTTTGTGTGCAAATAAAATGGCTCTGTCCATGTTAAAATATATTTTTAAAAATGATAAAAACTAAACATCCTACAGTATTTTTACAGTTAAAATATGTTTATTGAATAAAGTCTAATGTTACAACTAATCGTGGATCCTTTAAAGTCAAAAGGAGAGAAATAAAAACATTTTTTAAACATCTGGCTTCATTTGGATTGGGTGGGGGGAGGGGGGGGTGTCGGCACGCGCTGATTGGAAAACGTGATGACGTGCACGCTCCTTTTGGAAGCTGAGGCTCCGGTCCCGGGGAGGACCGGGGGAGGGTTCTGGTCCTCCGGATCCTTCCGTTCCGAACTCTCAGATGTGACATCAATAATTCAGGCGCCGCGCGCAGCTCAGCCTCAGCTCCTCTCACGCGCTATGAGTTCTGCGACCACCTTCGGTTCGGCGCGAGACTCCTCACGTACCACAGTGACCCAAGAAGAGCGGTTCTGAGAACTGCGACCACCAGGTCCAGAGGAGTCCAGGTCCAGAGGAGTCCAGGTCCAGAGGAGACCAGGACCACAGGAGTCCAGGTGAGAACTGGAGACTTGAGAGAAGAAAAGGCAGGAGAGGCTGTTTAAAACCAGAACCCTGAACCCGGACAGAACTCTGCAGGTCAAACTGATCCAGAACCTAGAACCCGGACCGATCTGTGCAGGTTTAGCAGGAGAACATCTGGAAACTCTAAAAGGAGGACCAGAACCCGCGGAGACGGTCCGGTTCGGCATGCTGCTCCTCTACCTGTTCAGTGCCGTGTGGATCGCGGCCAGCCCGGTTCGGGCTCAGAATGAGACCGAACCCATCGTCCTGGAGGGGAAGTGCCTGGTGGTCTGTGACTCCAACCCGACCTCGGATCCCACCGGGACCGCGCTCGGGATCTCCGTGCGCTCCGGCAGCGCCAAGGTGGCGTTCTCTGCGCTCCGGAACACGAACCACGAACCGTCCGAGATGAGCAACCGGACCATGGTCATCTACTTCGACCGGGTAGGACCAGAACCTGATTGGTTCCGTTTCTTGAAAGAAAAACAGCTTTTTTTTTTCTGAAAAAAGAATTTAGATCACAGGTGGTTCTGCTGAAACACCGGTTCTGTTCTGCTGAAACACCGGTTCTGTTCGGCTGAAACACCGGTTCTGTTTCTGAAGGTAAATAAAAAACTCTTTATTATTCATAAAAAATAAAATAAAATAAAAGGCTGAAAAGTTCCTGTGGTTCTGATGAAATAAAGGTTCTGTTCAGTTCATCAGAACAGTTTATTTTGGATAAAATCTAAAACTATCCTGGGATCAGCACAGAACCGCTCCGAGTCCTGCAGCAGGTCCAACAGAACCGCTCAGAGTCCTGCAGCAGGTCCAACAGAACCGCTCAGAGTCCTGCAGCAGGTCCAACAGAACCGCTCAGAGTCCTGCAGCAGGTCCAA